TGCAGCCGCTTCCAGCTAATCATCCAGCTCCCTGTTAACGGGAATCCTCTTCGACACAAACCGCCAAGCCCCTCCTCTAGCATCCACTCACATTAGTTACATACATACATACATCGATCGAGTAAAACCAAAATACCATCCCATACTTATGTACATACATATTTACATACATTTAAATGTACAATACATGCGCGGGCCATCGAACGTGAATTTTGAAATCTATTTTCATATTTTACGTGCGTAAATCGAAGGAATCGCCAAATAGCGCCAAATAAGTTTTCCAAAACAAATAAAGGAAATTCGAAAAACCATTGGGAAATTTTGTGTGTGTTCGGTATACTGGAGGGAAAATACCCTTTAGTGGGGAGCCAAGAAGAGGGAAGCTCCACGAAAGAACAGTTCCATAATTCGAGATAATCTCTGAAAAAGGCAGTCAAACTCCGAAAAGGAAAACAAACATTTGGATTGATTTAACGCTAAATGAAAAATTATTAAACACGAACGAATTTCTATTGATGGACAACCGCAAGTGCGTTAGGGTATGGCAACAAAACAAAATGTACAATACACATGTAAATATGTACATGCATACATACATATGTACATATGCATGTACTCGAATAATTTTGAATATTTCTTCATTGTGTTTTTCGTTTTCATTCTGAAGAATTTCAGCGCAAATTTGATATTTTTAAAAGCAAAGCACAAAAACAACAACAACAAGAAGTAGGAAGAAACCAATTTGGTTTTTCTCTTGGCAAGAATATGACCAAGAACGGGGAAGGGACAAGGGCATGGGTATTGGGGGGATTTGAGGTGTATGTTATGCGATTTATAACTCGGGAGAGTGAATGAAAGAACGAGTGAGAGCGAGTGGTGGGGGGGGGGGGGATGATGAATGAATGCTTGAATGTATGTGTGTGCGTGTAAGTACTTGAACTAGTTGGATCTACGTCTCCCCCATACCATTTGGGACGCTGGCAGTGTGCCCAGTGCAAAGCAGATACGGATTTACGGTTATGATGGATTCAGTCCACTGTTAAGGCGTTATGTTATGTAAAAGAAGTGCACAGCCATCCAACAAGTTGCCGTTGAATGTGAAACGAATGCCAACGAGTGCTTCCGTTTGGGGCACTTCTGTGAGCCTTTTCCTCTGGAGCATCTGGCGGCTACTCACTGATAGATGGCGATCCTCCACTGCGGAGGGCATCCGATACATGGTACACCTGGTACATATACATATGCATATAAAGAAAATGTTGCAAAGTTCTTTGACACTTTCGCCCCGTTTGGTGGCGCCCCTGCCAGATGCATATTTGCGGCCACTTCGATAAAGCTATTTTGGTGGCGCGCAATGATTGCGACACGACTGAATGAACTCGCTCCCAAATTGGCTGCAGTTGCAGTTGCTGATCGCGATCGAGATCGAGATCCACTCACCGTTGGATCCTGGCATCGTGGACACTGGCACATGAAGCCCTTGGTCATGCCGAGGAATATCTTTCGGGCCAAAGTTGACCAGAGCATCTTGGCATAGGAGACTGTGATCTCGGCACCGCAGGGTATTCGCTCCGTGGCGCAGACAATGATCGTCTCCCCATCCTCAAAGTGGTGGGTGGCATTCGGCGTGCATTGGTGGTTGAGCAGCCCCGCCAGGGGGAAGAGAGCGCGGATGAGCACCTCGTGTCCTTCGACGCAGCTGCGGCTCTCGAATGCATTCGTGTTGAAGGCACAAATGGTGCGGTAGAAGAAGTCGAGCATTTGCTGCTCGCGGGGAAAGTCCTCGAAGCAGGCTGCCGCCCGCTCCACCTCCTTCATGTAGTAGCGGTCCGCGTTGGCCTGCATCGCGTAGAGCAGCCGCCGCTGCTGCTCGTCCAGGAAGAAGCAGCGCACCACGCTCAGTATGCGCAAGGAGCGCGGATCGATGCGCTGCGTCTGCTTGGGCCTCCACTTGAGAAAGAGTTCGCACTCGGACTTGTGGCGCGGCGACTTGCCGCACTCCTCGCACACGGGCAGGCCACAGCCTGCGGGGCAGAGCGCTTCCGCGTCCGTCTGTCCCGGCACCAGGCGGTAGCAGAGCGTACAGGTGCGCAGCTTCGAGGAGCGGTGTGCCGTCGGGCCCACCAGAATGGTGTGCTCTCGGAACAGCTCCTCGCCCTTGGCAATGTCGCGAGTGGCGAATATGCCGCGACCCGAGATGGGGGAGTCGGACACTCGCCAGGCGGGCTCCTTGGGCCGCAGCTGCCCGAGATGCAGATCGATCAGCTCGGCCAGCTCCTGTGTGGAGGCGCTGATGGCCATTTGCTGTGGCTGCCTGGACAGCTGTTGCACTGTTGCTGGCTGCTGCTGCCCCGGGTGCTCGGGCTGTTCGGACATGTCGATTGGATAATTGAAACTCTCTCTCACTCGCCGATAATCGAAACGCTACTGACCGCCGCACGCCGCCAGCCGCCAGAAGACTCTTTTTTTTGCGCAGTCTGTGCGCTGCTTTTCGCTCTCTCCCCGCTCTTCCGGCGGGAGCTCTATTAATAGTTGCGCGTGGCCCTCAGATTTCCCCATGCGCCGACTGGACACGCGAATTGGATTGAATTCGATTGGAATGCTGGGAGGAGGTAGGTGCAAAAGGGAAACTAGCATTGGCACTCAGCGTTTTGGATTTCGCATCTCTGCCTCCAACCCTTTCCATCGCTTGTGAATAAGTTAGTGGTCCGGTCCTCCCCACAGCGGACAACATCACCTAGCTAGCAATTTCACCATGTTCTGGGGTGTAAACAATAAGTCCGCAGGCCGCGCTCCATCCGGCTGTTTCTTTCATCCCACTTGTTTTAACATCGTTGAATCACACTCTCATACAGTGAAACTTTAATCAAATGCTTAGCTGTACACACATGGGCATACAATAGAGGTTCCCATTAAGGGTAACGTTCATATTTGTATTCAGGTCTGGCTTGGTTTCCTTCCTGGCCATGGAAGGAAAACGTATTATCTATGCTGGTGCCGCCCTCTGTCGGGCATGATATCAAGCAAAGCTTTCCAGCTTTCACCCTTGTGGACAGTATTTGGGGTCTTTTCAAAATGTACCGAACACTTATTTGTATTTGTACCAAGCCTAATGGTGAAAACAGCATCCGCTAGATGGCACGCTAAAAATGCAGCTCGTGTTAAATATTTGATACAAGTTGCTGCTAAGTTGCTCTACTCGTTTTATTCTCATTTTGATGATTCGCCCTGGTGAAATGGTCGGTGAGAAGAGAAAAAAAAACATACACACATATATAAAAAGCTGGAACAAGAAAAATATCTTAAACAGTCTTTGGTTGTAGTGTAATGTGTAGGCTTAAAATGTGTACAGAGAAAGCAGCACAAGGCGAACACAGCATTGAATCTGAGCCAGCACTCCAACTATCAGCATACAGGCCAGCAGACGAGAGCATCAGAAGACATCCCTTCACGACTGGATCCAGAAGCAGAGATCCAGCGACACCTGTGGGAAATAATTCTATACACACTTCTTCCATACTGCAGAATACCAATGCAAATAACTCACCTGAAGCTGAAAGACAGTAGACTAGCTTAAAATTAAAGATAAATGTGGGAGATGTGGCCGCCAGCCGCAAACGAAGCAAACGAGCAAAACGAAGCACAGCTGCAGCCTGCAGGGCTTTTATAGAAGAAGCCGGCAGCGTCCCATGCTGCATACACACACACACATGCACATACAATGGCGTCAGTGCGGCGTGGCCGCCTTTCCGAGTTAGAGCGGGACAACCATTGCTTGCCGAATTTCTAAACTGTGTCCGAGTTACTGTTGCGTCTGTGTCCAAGTGCATGTGCTTTGACTCCAATACATAAGCAAGACGAACTTCGTTTCAGTGTTTTTTTTTTTTTAAATGGTGGGGAATTCTTCTCTAGGCAAATTGCTTAGATTTTCTTTCAAGTTATATGTTTTCTTTTTGGGTGGCAGCACTTTTGCCAACTGCCGTACCACTAACCAAATAGTATAGTAGACTTTCAGACCCAGGCCGGCTACAAGTATTAGTGCGTGTAGAGCACGCAGCTACATGGCCCAGCCACATGTGTATAAGTGAGTGTAGCGCACGCAGCTAGAAGCCCCAGCCACATGTGTATTAGTGCGTGTAGAGCACGCAGCTACATGGCCCAGCTACATGTGTATAAGTGCATGTAGCGCACGCAGCTAGAAGCCCCAGCCACATGTGTATTAGTGCGTGTAGCGCACGCAGCTACAAGGCCCAGCTACATGTGTATAAGTGCGTGTAGCCAATGATTTTTTAGCGCTCCAAACTGGGGTTGCCTTGTTTCACACGGACACTGTATGTGTTGGTGCGCTGACTTTCTGATTTGTGATGGAACCGAAAATTCGTTTTGATGAGGGGTGGGGGCTTGGTGGCCGGACCCTTGGGAGTGGGAAAAATAAATATACCAATAAAAGTTGTTTTTGTCTTTTAATGCTGTAATTGCTTTATATGCAGATTTATACTGCCTTATTCAAAATTGTATGTAAGTAAATATGCATGCATAGATGCATATACATGTGTATATATACATGTTTATATACATACAACTTTCCAATTGCTGTTCTCGACTTCATGTGCGCTTTCATTTCTGGTTTTATCCATCTCATCTCTCAGCTCATCTCTGAAATGAAAACCCAACACACACTTTCGTTTCTGTTGCTGTGGTACAAAAGCTTCCTTTAATTATCGCCCGGAGGACTCTGGAGAGTATTCCCCACGAAGAAACATTCAATCGGCGATAGGTGCGGTACGACTGGAAGAACAACAACATTTACAAGTTCCCTGGAACTCTGGATACATATGTAGATGCAGAAGTAACGTCTGTTTGCCTGAATATAAATAAACAATTTCTGCCTACGGCTACTACTTGTCTTGGGCCCTAGATGCTACGCTTAAGAACTAACAAAGTTTCGTATAAAAAAAAAACAAAAAAAAGAAGCTCCCCCCCCGATGGTTGGAGCCAAACTAGCTTAGGGATAAGTGCTCGGAATTGTCTTTGCGATCGGCCTGGTCGGCCTGGTCTGCCTTGCTGGCCTGAAAGCGCTGCAGCGGCGGAATGGCAAACATGAGCAGGCCACTGATGGCAATCATGAGGCCGGCCATGAGAAAGGCTGGCGAGTAGGAGCGCATCAGGTCGTACATCCAACCTGGAGGAGCGAGAGAGAGAGAGAGAGAACGATCAGAGAGAGAGATCGAGCAATGGGTGGACAGACTCACCTCCAATGGGTGGACCAATGAAGCTGGCAATGCCCTGGAAGAGCAGCAGCAGGCCGAAGGCATTGGTCAGCTTGTCCAGGCCCAGCAGGTCCACGAGAATGACCGAGGTGAGGCCCACATAGGCGCCAATTGTGAAGCCAAAAACGATGCAGTAAACGGCCAGCGAGTTGAAGTCCTTGCACAGCGGCACCATGGCAGTGGCTGGAAGAGGGGCAGAACGATTAGGTGGAGCTCAGGGCAGCAGGCACTGTGCATCGATTGAGACCCACCAATGCCGCAGGCCGTGAGGCACACATTGTAGACGAGCAGGCGATTGACCCACGGCTTGTCCGACACATAGCCGAGCACAATGCGTCCCACGGTGTTGGCCACGCCGATGGTGGCTATGAGGTAGCTGCTGTTGGTCTTGCTGATGCCCAGCTCCTTGGCGTAGGCGCCGATGTAGAGGTAGGGCACGTTGAAGCCGATGCTGGTGCAGAAGTTCGACAGCGAGAAGATCACAAAGATGATGTCCTTGAGCAGCGAGAAGTTCATCATTTCGGAGAATGTGTCGCGCGTCTCCTTGGAGCAGGTGATGCAGCCGCAGCACTGGCCATCGTCCTGAAAGAGAGGAAGAGAGTTGCTTCAAAATGTTCGAGATGGTGCGGAGTCCCAGTCCTAAAGTCCCTTTAGCCTCTTTGCTCGTTTTGCGGTGACGTCGAACCCCCAGCCATGTGCCCGCTGGCCACTGCCCGCTGCCCCATTAGCATAGACTGCGCTCCACTCCACTGCGGCCTCATGTTAGTCAAATGAGTTGTCAACTGTCACATGAATATGCGAAGGGCAAGCGCCGCGAGCTGCTCCAAATGCCACAAGCGAGCCGCAGGCCTGACCAGTGTTCAGTGCAGCGATTGCCTTAGGAGCGATGACACAGTCATTGGTGGACTTTTACGAGGATAGCGAAGTATTTGTGACGGGCGGCTCGGGCGTGGTGGGCAAGGCGCTGATCGAGAAGCTGCTGCGCTCGTGCAACGTGCGCCGCATCTACGTCCTGCTGCGTCCCCGTCGCGAGCTGAGCGCCGAGCAGCGGCTGCTGAAGCTGCGGCAGGCGACCATCTTCCATGTGCTGCACAGGCAGAAGCCCCAGGAGCTGGACAAGCTGGTGGCGGTGCCCGGGGATGTCTCGCTGCCCGGACTGGGCATCGCCCCGGCCATGGTGGAGCGCATGGCCCGGGTGTCGCTCGTGTATCATTGTGCGGCCACCGTGCGGTTCGATGAGCCGCTGCGTGTGGCCCTGCAACTCAATGTGGGTGGCACTCTGGAGGCCCTCAAGTTCGCGGAGACCCTCACGCAGCTGCGCATCTTTGTGCACGTGTCCACGTTCTACAGCAATCCGTATCTGAAGCGTGTCGAGCCCAAGTTCTACTCCTCGCCCATGGACTGGCGCCTCTGCTTGCGCATGATCGATGAGATCCAAGACGACGGAATGCTCAATGCTCTGACACGCAAGTAGGTTATCGTTTGGGTAACCAAATACACCACTTATCGAACTCTCTCTCTCTCTCTCGATCGTTTTGGCAGACTCATTGTGGGCTTCCCGAACACGTACACCTTCACGAAGAACCTCGCCGAGTCGTTGGTCAACGATTATCGCAGCCGCTTGCCGCTGATCATTTACCGCCCGTCGATAGGTGAGCAAAGACACAAACCACAGTCGATACATCGATTACTAATCGATTGTCTGTCTGGGCGCTAGTTCTGTTTGCCTTGGACGATCCCTCGCCCGGCTTCTCGCCCTCACTCATGGGCGCCATGGGCTTGTTTGCCCTGGTCGGCGCTGGCATCCTGAAAACTGTTTACCTGGGCAAGGATACGCGGCTGGACATAACGCCGCAGGACATAGGCATCAAGAGCATGCTGTCCTACACGAAAAAGGGCCACGAGCAGTACCAGAGGGGGTGAGTTGGCTGCAGGGAAGTGCTCCACTGGCTATATTGGCTCTATCCCTTTTGCAGTCCGCCCCAGGAGCTGCCCGTCTACATGTCCTCCTCGTGCACCCACGTGCCGCACACCTTCACCCAAATTGCCGAGCAGATGGACACGCTCGACCTGTGGAAGAGCGCGGCCTTCGAGAAGAACCTCCTGGTGCCGGGCTGCCACTACACGGACAATCGGTGGGTCTATCAGTTTCTGGTCGTCACCAAACAGATTCTGCCCGCACTGCTCATCGATCTGCTGCTGCGCCTCTTTGGCCAGCGGCCGCAGCTGATGGGCGTGGTGCGCAAGGCCTATCAGACGCTCGAGGTGATGCAGCCGTTTATGTTCAACAACTACGACAGTCCCGGCGTGACGCTCAAGGATGAGATATCAAAGGAGAACGAAGGGTAAGTCGCACTCTCTCTCTCTCTCTCGCTCTTTGGGAGCTCTTTAAGACTGCCTGCTGACTGCTCTTCCAGCACGGAGTTCCAAATGAGCGCCTTCAATGTGCCGGACATCAATGGCCTGGTCATACGCGCCAGTGGCCAAATGTTGCACAGCATCCGGGCCCATCTGCTGCGCGAGGATCCGCGCACATTGCGGCGTTCGCAGCGAATACTCACCGTGTAGGTGGCGCCACTTGTACCTATTTGAGCCCTAGCTAATCCACTCTCCCCACAGCAAGACGATCATCTATCAGGGCCTGCGCCTCTATTTGCTCTACAAACTTCTACGCTGGCTCTGGCTCAGCTTTCTGGGATCCCACTTCTAGCCACTTCTATATTTTTTGTACTTTGTTTTTTTTTTTTGTATTCCTAAGTTTATGTTGAATTTAATGTCAGATCATTTTGCTACACCCAACGAGATGCGGCGAAGCTGCAGAAGCAAAAACCTAGCCAGACGCGACAGCAGTCAGCAATGCTGCATCGACATGTGCCACCAGGGCACACAATTTAGTCCAAGGTTCTGTGGTGAGTCGCTGTCGCAGCGTTTATGGCGTTGGCTGGGCAGCGCCATCTGGCGGCTTCTGGTCTTTGGCTCGAGCTGCCTGGCGGCACTTTTTGCGGTGGTTTACATGGCTCTAATGCTGGAGAATTATAATGCACGAGTGGCTGGCTCTCAATCTCCGTGCTTGCCGGCATGGATTGACGCGACAATGAACGAGTGGAGCGCCGCGTTGCTCGAGAAAATTGGTCGACCCCGGCAAGAGGACTTGTAGCTTCATTTACAAATAAAACACTAGAAACTAAAACCCACCTGAGTCTCATCCACTTGATTGCTCTGGCGCAGTGAGCCATAACGCTTGATCACACCCGAGCCGGACATGGAGCGACTGAGGTCATGCCTGGAGCTGCCATATTCCGGTAGATTGTGCAGCGAGCCCTGGGGAAAAAGTGAACAATTGGCTGGGTTCCGGTCATGGCTGAGGGGTTGTGTCCTCTGCTCACCTGATAGAGCGCATCCACGCGATACATTGTGCCACTGGCACTTCGCTCTCTGTGTGCATCTCTGAGCGGATTTAGCTGCAACTGGCTGTGGCACTTGCGTGCAATATCATCGTTGCTGTTGCTCTTTACCACCACCACTGTGGTGGAGGAGTTGTGTGTGGGTGGCGCTGTCAGCGTCTGGCCATTGATGGCGCCATTCAAATTGTTGTTCTGTGCAGGAGCCAGAACATTAGCAGGAAGAGCCATAAAAGCCGCCATGCAAATACTCACCAAAGTTGGCTTTAGGTTGTGACCCATGCTATTCGAGCGACACAGTGTAGTGCCGCCACCTGTTGGCACATCTGTGCGCTGTGGCAGCTGCAGGTACTGCTGATCCTTCAACGGCTCCAACTCAGCGGACGTTGTGTGCCCATCGATGATGGCTGACTTCTTGGCGCACAGTTTCGGTGTGCTTGGCGGCGCCTCCAGCTCCAACGGCCGAAACATTGCTCCAAAAATAATGCAATTGAGGACAATCCCACCGATAATTAGCATGGCGCCGCGCCAGCCAAAGCTGCCAATCAAATATTCCGTCAAGGGAGCAAACAGAAAGGTGCCAAAGCCGGAGCCACACACGGCAATGCCCGTGGCCAGGGACCGCTTTGTGTCAAAATATTGTGTGACGCTGACAATGGCCGGCAGATAGATCAGGCCAAAGCCCAGACCAGTGCCAAAGCCAATTGTTATGATGAGCGTGAGGACATTCTGGGCGAACATGCTGACAATAATGCAACTGGCAGCGAGTATGGCGCCGGCAATGGTCACCGCACGGCAGCCATAACGATTGACAAACGAAGAACTGATGGGACCTGCACAAGAGGTGAGTTCCATTATGGGAAAGGGGAAATTGTAAGCGGAGACACTCACCCGATGAGAATGTAACGCCCACCATTATGGATGCGATCCATGCGGTGTAACCTTTGCCCTCGTTGAAGTACGCCGTAAACTCATCATAGAAAATGCCAAAAGAATAAGTCATCCCATCGGCTGTGAAGAGAGACAGATCATGGGCAGAGGGATTAGCGCTGGCTCGAGCCATAAATCAGTTTAGTTGCACAACTAATTATAGCATGTAGCCGTGTCTGGGGAAATTACAGCAAAACGCGGCGATAAGATTATCTGGGGACTGGTCAGCGCAGTCGCTGGGCACTTGGCACTTGGCACTTGGCACACCCGATAATTATCAACCCAATTGGTAGTTGTGTGTGCCTCAAGTGGAGTGAACCTTGTAGCAGCCAGCACCCTAATCTGTCCCTGATTTCAAGCGATTACAGTGCGTAAGCGGCTGATATTTATGATACCCGCGCGATCTCGTGGCCAGCCATCGGTTGCCATCGGCACATTCCAAGGTTTATGGCTGGTTTATGGCCAGCAAACTTATGGCAAAACTTACTGACAATGTGTATCATGAAGGAGGCAAAGACAACCACCCAACCCCAGCCGCCATCTGGCGGCGTGGGCATACGCTCCATATCCATTTCACATGGTTTCTGGTGGTGCTGTTCCTGCTGCTGCGATTTTCTCCGAGCGGGTGGTCCATGCACCATTTTCCCAGCTATCAATAAAACAAACTAAAGGCTTCTCCTTTCTCCTTTTGGTGCGAGTCCTGCTCGTATCGGGTGCCGGATCAAGGCCTCTGGCAATCAATGTGCTATACAGATCCGCCTCCTCGGTTGCTGTCGCTGCTAATGGAGCTGCCACTGGCTCCACCTCTCCCGCTGCTGTGTTGAGATCTTCTCTAGCTGCGCTCCGGCTGCTGCATGGTGTGTCCGCTGTAACGGGCAAAGGGGAATTTATATTAGGTTTCAGTATTAGAAAACTCGAAACTGCTCGAAACACGAGATGATGACTCTGTTGTTTGTCTGCGCTTATCAGCGAGCAACGCCAAAAATACATTGACCCAAACATAATTTATGTACATAAAAACAGAAACATAAAATAGTTGTGAAAGCGTTTGAGCGGAATTCCAGCAATATTTAACAATTTGTGCACTTTAAACAGCGACGAAAACAAATGAAATTCACGAAAAAATATTTCCCTGATTCCCCTCCGGATGTGCACCAATTCCGCAGGCTATTTATCGAATTTTTCAACCAATTCTCTGTCGCTCCTTAAAGCCTTACGAATGAAAGGCGAATCCAGCAGTCCACTGCAAATCGCATCGAATCGAGGCGAATCTGTCTGAAAACCAAATCAAGGCGGTAATCGTGCAGTCGTCAACCTACTGAACTGTCATCCCTGCCCCCAGAACGGCAGCCAGATCACAGCTCACCCTCGACACGAACCCCCCTCCAACCCAACAAGCAACGCAAAACACCGTTATCAATTTGAAGGTTGGGTATTTTGGGGGAAGATTCCGCTTACATTTCCATTGTTAGCCGATCCCCCCCATTGATCCTCTCTCTCGTTCTATCGCGGACACAGTCTCTCTGGTATGGATGGCAATGTGCATGGATGTACTATCATCATTTACTTTTATAGAACTCTCTGGATGCCCGCTTATCAGCAAAACAGTTCGAAAAACACTCGAAGCTGAATGAATGGTGCGGATCGTGGCGTGGCTGTCCGACTTAGACCCCCCCCCGGCACATTTGAGTGCTGGAATAACTTTTCTACGTATCATTTATGTATATGCGGCATGAACTCACGAAGCGATGTGATTTGGCATGAGCTCCGATACGCGGCAACACGTAAAGGTGGAATCTGAGCTAATCCCTGAACCCCTCAACAGTTTTCATTTCGCTATAAAGAACGGGGAAGTATATTTCCCGTTGCCAGCCAGCACACAAACTGAGATTTACAGCCACTATAAACGGGCGCCAAGGTGCGAAATATTCTCGTATTCTTTTGCTTTTGTTTGCATTTGGCTGTTGCTTGGCCAACTCTTGGATACAATAATCGGGCCAGTCTACATATAAAAAGAACTTTTATGTGTGTGTACATATTTACTGAATGCTCAATCATTGTGGCGAGAACAAAGCGCGGAAGGTTGCAACAATGCGAATGTGCAGCAAAGATAATGCAGCGAGAGGGAGAGAGTCCAGGGCGCTCATTCAGTTGGACTCGATATCGATATCTCTCCACTCCAAGAGTGATTAGAGCGCTGCAGCGGAGACTAAAACCAGGCGCTGTGGCTTGGCAAAGCAAAGCAACAGCAAAATCAGAGCAGGAAACGCTGCCTCTAATCCGTGGCATGATTCATGCGTGGCGGCACTTGCTCTTTGTGCAATCAACAGCAATTAAAACAAAGGAAAACAAATCAAATCGAATTAAATGAAGAGAGACCAAAAAGCGCCGCCTGAAGTTTTAGCTCCAGCAGCACTTGTCCCCTTGTCCCCCTGGCGGCAATTATCAGCTGGAACAATCAAGAGTGGGGCCAAATATTGACCATGACATTGAGTGGCGCTGCTTTAATCTCTAACTCTCGCTCTCTCTCTGTGTACGTTGCGCGGCAAATGGAGAGGGGAAAAGCGCCATAAATAGATCGAAGAAGTGCCCGAAATGGCCGCCCACATCTAGCCACTGGCACAGCTAATCCCGGCAGCAAAACAATCTTCGGATGGAACCAAACCTGGCGATAACAGCATTAACTGCCGCCATGTGTCCCTTTCGAAGAGTATAGTGTGCCTTGGGTGAATTTACTTCACCACAGGCGAGTACCAATAGCTCCGACTGCAACCCTTTCTACCGCCTGGTGAGTAAGTTATTGCTCCTCCCCACAGCGGACAACGGCACCCTCTACATATGTAAATTCGCCTTGCTCGTGGCTTGCCCTTGGCTGGTGTGCCGTGGACTTTTGCCTTGACCTATTCCATAATTTTTCTTATAGCCATGCGCCGAACACGCTAATGAGAACCCCCCCAGAAAATGTGCGCAGTTCATGAAAATGCAATATCAGCAGAAAATTTCAACATTCGATAAGTTGTGGTGTGGCGGGGGGCTTTGTGGGGTGGTTGTTGTCCGTGCTGGTGTGGGTCGTTGAACCAAAAGCAGCAGCAAAATAAACACATTTTTTGGTGAGAACAACAAAACGGTGGAACGAAAGAGAAGGAAGCAGAGCAACAAAGTGAGTGCACCCAATGCACTCTGCACTCGCTCCACGGTACCATCCACTCTCCCAGTGGACAGCCAGTGCCCTTCCCCGTCCCTGTCCCCGTCCCCGGCCACATCCATCTCCAACGCCTCCTTGGCCATTCACACTTTGCTTATCGCTCAAATTAATTCACTTTGCTTGTCACTAAATGAATTTCTGATTTTGCGGTCACAGATTTTTAATCGCTTTGGCCTTGGTTGGGATTCACTACCCACCACGGCACACAGCACACAGCACACAGCATCTCCACCCATCAATCTGCTGCTCTGCGCCTGTATTGATCTTGGCACAGGGCGAACGACTGACCCACTGACCAGATTTCTATCTTTGTGCAGCGTACATGATAGGGGCATTGGCATGGAGTAGCACTTGTGTCCTCTTCTTCTTCTGTTTAAATATGCTCCTTACACCTTTCGATTTGCATAATTGGTCTTTCCCAGCCTTAAATTGCTAAACTTTCCCAGCCTATCTTTCAGGCTACACACCTTGCCGGCGGCAACCTTGTCACGAGTCGAGTTCCCAACCTCCCCTTCAACGATTGCACTAGCTTTGGCGGGCGGCCACCTGTTGACCGTTTCGAGTGGCGCAGAGCGAATTAAAGGGGTGAGGGGAATACTTTTATGCACTTTCTGGCACTCCCGCATTCGTGCGTGGCCAAAGCAAAAGCAATAGAAGAAACACCCACAAACAGTTTGAGAATTTTGTTTAAAAATAGTTTTAGTTCTCCTCTTTTGTCTCTTTTCGTTTCGTTTGGTTTTTTATTGTTTTTGTTTTGGTTTTCCAGAGCGATTGCATATTTGAGTGTGGATCATGATACGAGAATTATGGCTGAGATCTGCAGCACGCTGCCTGCTGCCGTGCTTATCTCCCTTTACGCGGATGGCGCTCAACTTACCTTTCGCTTTCGGTTAACGGTTAACGGTTAACGGCAGTGCTGCTGCCAGGCCTGTAAATGTGTGCTGCTTCGACCAGGCCTGTAATTGTGTGCCGTTGCTGTAATTGGTTGTTGCTGCTTCCTTCGTAGCTCGGGGAGGGGAGTGTCGGCACGGAACGGGACTTATGTTGCGTTTGATTGGATCATTTGATAATTACTTTGCTGGCTTTTGTTTTTGTGCCTTGATGTTGTTTTACGTTTTACGTTTTACGACTTTGTTGACAATTTTCGCGCTCGCATTCGCGTTTTGCTTTAGCGTTTACGTTCGCGTTCCCGTTCGCGTTCGCGTTCGCGTTCTGTGCGCTGCAATTGCAATTGCAGATGCACTTTTGATATTTGTCTGTCCCTAAGGATAAGGATGTCGAAGTGGACAAAGGTTACTGCTTTCGATCCGTTGCGATCCGCTCCGATTCATGTGCGATTCGAGACGAGCAACCGATGCCGTTGTCAGCGAGCGACCAAATAAAATTAAATGTGAAATGTGTAAGAGCAGAAAAAAAAAGGCAAGCGAATAGGAAGAAACAGTGGAGCGGCAGAACGCACTGAAAGCGTTCTGCGCTCTCTCTCTGTCTCTCACCCGCTCGCTCTCGCACTCGCTCATCGCGGACGCTTCTGCTGCTGTTCTTATCACTGGCCAACTGCTGGAAAAAAGCGAGAGCGCCCGAACGGGAGAGCAGTATGTGTGTGTGTGTGTGTGTGTGTGTGTGTGGGACAAAGGGGAAACAAGGTGCAGAGGCAGCTCGGTGAGGGGTAGGGGAAGTGCCAGTGATCGGACTCAATCCGCATTCGAATTATAAACACCTTATCAGCTTCAGCTCTATAATTTTGTGTTCAACATTCCCCACTAGTGGTGTTGCTGTCCCTTTTTGTGTGATTTCCAATTGCTGTACACAAAGCGAACACTTAATACATGCTACGTACATACATTTGTACATATTTACATACATATTTACATACTCGCATGTAGCGTGTTCCCAAGCGAAGTCGAGCCACAGGCTGATCGAATTAGGCGTGCCTTGCGTCTTGGCCGGGCCTTAGTGTTACATTTTAATTAACAAATACTCTACCCACGCCTCCACCTCTTAAAGGTGCTCTAAAATATCTCTAGAACCTTGTTTATATTTATTTCCCATTTAGAGTACGTTTGGCCGCGACCCACTAAAGTAATCTTAATGCAAAATAAGTTTAAATTGTATCTGTGGGAGAAGTTGTAGCCACAGTGGGGCAAGCACAAACACCAGCTGCAGACTGGCAAGAGATTAGTGGAGTTGTGGGCAGAGTTCTCCTTCTCCTTCTCCGCCTTACAGCGGCATGAACTGAAGTAATTTTAGAATGGATTTAATGCTTAAAATATGTACACACCAGTCAGGGTGCGATCGGTTATCCGTTCAGCCTGTGCGTGTGGGGGAGAGATTTCCTTTTCCCTTGCCCCTGATCGCTGATCAGTCGATAAGAATCGCTGTCAAGGGGAATACACAGCAGGTGGGCCAACTGTCATGCCCCTTGGTCAGCTAAGATAGAGCCACAGCTGGCGCACCCAGTTACATAAATGAAGTGAAACGCTAGCTCAGGAGCGGAGCGGACAGGCGCGGGCTTGTGTATAACAATTTCAGACTTGAGACTTTTCCGGTTTCCCCTGTTTACCTTTCAGCTGTGAGTGCGCTCCTGGACACTCCGTGACTTTTCTTTGGGCTATTTTAAAACGCTTTTGCGCTATTTTGAAACTCCATCTGCATGGACCCACTGCAGCCTTAGCTTGGAGTTTGCCATTCATCCGTCTCTGGATGATAGCGCCTCCTCAGAATTGATTGTGTTTGTTGTTTGTTCAGCTTACAGCGCAGATTAGCCTGCCCGGGGATCATTCTGGATGCTGGATGCTGGTGATAAGCAGGTGCCGAATTGCGGTCAATAGCTCAGGCCGCTGATATATTAGGCTGTGCATGGAATGCACTTAGCAGCAGCAGCATTAGATACTTACACCCTTGATCCGCGATCCGCGATCCGCGACTGGGCAATGGCCGGGCAGGACGGCCTCTTATCGGTGTCAGACAGCTCATGCTGGATTGATTTTAATATTTTAATAGGTGCATTCACTTGTCTTCCCCAAACTTCAGGGAACTTACCGTAAACAGATATTCGCTGGCAGCAATCACCATTGACACCCTTCCCGGACTGGGGTACCCCTTTGTGGAGTCACTCACTGAGCTGCCAGGAACTGAGCGCAGCAAAAGTAATGCAAAGAAAATGCATGCAAATTAGCTGACAAAAATAGATTGGCAGTCGGCAATCAGCCGCAAATTGTCTGGCAATAACAAAGGAAGCGCCCAAGCCAACAGCCAACGAGTGGGAGCAAGGACTACCCCATAAGCTTGAGGTGGCTTACGAGTAGATCTTTGGGCGATCTCATAGGTGTTTTCCCTTTCCTTTTTGCAGTCAGTTTCCTCAGAGTCAGAGAGAGGCTAAGAGCCATATCCAGCTACACACTAATCGAATATACCCCGTGAATGAGTTTGAGTGCAGGGCATTAAAATAAAAACTGCAGCGACAGCACGGAACATCCTGCCGCATTGCCATGACGCAGCCAGCCAGCGAGCAGTCAAATGGCGGCAAAGGCAAGCAAATGGGTTGGCCCTGGGCCATGGGCATCCTGCCTGTGTCAGGCACCGTGTCTGTGTCTGTGTCCGTGTCTGTGTCTGTTTCGAGTCGTTTGCATTGTTACCGCCTTCTATTTAACATGCACTTGTCGTGGCCCGCTGTGGGCTGCATTAATATTGCACGGCCAGTCACGGCCAGTGGGCGTTTGGCACCTGTTGAGCTTGTGGGTTGTGTGTGGTGTGGATTGTGGATTGTGGATTGTGGGTGCTAATTATGCACACTGCCGTCCTGTCTGTCTGTCTGTCTGTCTACAAAATGGTTTCTACTTACAAGCAATGGCGTGATGCTGGGACTGGTCCTGTGCTGATGGATCGGACAACGACCGCGCGGTGGAACTCATTGGAACTGAATGTTGGCCGGCAGCATCGGCAGCTCCTTGGCCGTTCGGCAGGCGTCCCTCTTCGCTGTTGCACGTGCTTATAGCTGTGTGTGTCTTTCTCTCTCTCTCTCTTTTACTGTGTGTGTGTATGACAGGTGGTTACGAGTTCCTATAGTATATCTCGATGTATATGGGGGCTCTGCGCGACGTCCCTTGGGCCACGTAAACTTACCCTTTGCACTTTTCGCTGGCACGTGCCACGTGCTGCACGGGTCGATCCTTAACTGCAGGTCACGGACACACACACACACAGAGACAGGTACCCAATACCTGTGCACCAATACAGCTGTAAGCGACGCTCGAAAATCGAATTTGTACGCTTAATTAATTGAATACTGTCCACAATTTAGCTTGGCCGGGCAACAAATTGGCCGCGGGCCGCCGTTTAACGTCACGTCACGTCACGCACCGGACTGGAGCGGGAAAGGGACCGGCGACCAGCAGACTAGCAGGATTTACCGTTGTGTTTTGGCCGCGTCTTGGCAGCGACAACACCAGACGAACAGAACAACAGAAACAACAAAGCTCGCCGTCCCGTTTTGAAATGCAGCGCCCGTGCACAAGCTTTCGAGCTTTTACAGTGTGCTTTTCCACTGCAATGGATGATGGCTGTCCCCACTGCCACCACCATGTGAGTGCCTAAATCACGTGGATTGTGAGCCTGAGCTTCACCGAAGAGCTTACAATTTGTAGTGTCGTCATCCATGGGATCCTGCCGGGCACATGTGTCGCTCTAACGTAAGGCAACCACACGTCACTATGCAAATGCATGCAGCATCCATTTGGTTTTTCTGAGTTTTTCTTGTGGGATTACGAAATGTGCATATGGCAACAGGTTGGATAAACACAGCCAGGTAGAGGGCCATCTGCGATTGACAGCCACCAAGCTGCGCCTTGGGTTGCGGCTGGCGGTGGATACTTCCGCCACCCCAGGCAGCACACTCCCAAGACATCATGTGGAGAATTTAGAAGTGAATTTAAAAGCTAAGCATTAAGAATTTTCCTTTAACAATTTCTCAGAAGTCTTATTTCTTTTTGTTTTTAACCCCGAAAAGTATGCTGTTCTTTTTTTTAATCAAATCAACGCCACTCTTCGGAGTTAGTTGTTAATTTAGTTCATAATATTTTACTAATGTTTAATATAGTTTTTTTATCCTTTTGATGAACGCTCATCTCACAGGTTTCAGAGACGATAAGAGCCAGAATATTGGACAACAAATATTCCCTAGTTGTGCCTTCTCTCTCGTGTCCAGTGCAAGAAAGAGAGATGGCAATACGTAGTTCCTGAGCAGCCAGCTTTGTATGGCCACATAGCGACCAGCTTTAAGCTGTGGCTGTGTTTAGCTGTAAATATATTTCCTCCACGCTTCCCCTCCCTTCCCTTCCCTTAGTTATGACCGCTGCAAATGCATACGAATCGAGTTTGAATTCTGCTCTAATTATTTTGTTACGTTTACAAAATTGGGCACATGCAAGCACCAGAAATGCATGCCGCTTGGCTTGTCTAGGCTAGGCTCCACCTCTTGCTCCATCTTCGTCGTTGGGCTCCAAGTCGACCCAGTTGTCGTCGCTGAGCTCATCGATGGTGTCGTTGTCATCGGCCACGGCCGCCACGCTAACATCATCGTCGGTCGAGCCGGAATTCGTGGCTGCGGTTGTGGCTGTGGCGGCCACGGAAGTGGGTCGGGGCGGACGATCAGCCACATCCTCCTCGGTGGGCAGCGTTGGCGTGGTCGAACCAGTGGGTGTGTTCGCGGACGGTGTATCCGTGAAATTGCCACCTGAAAAGCTGGAAGTGGTCGTGCCCGAAGTGGACGCGTCGTCCCCGGTGATGGGCTCCACAGATTGTCGGGGGCGCTGATTCTTAATTTTGTTCTCAAGGCGCTTAGCGTCGTACTCCTTGAGATCGGACAGCTTCAGTGTGATGCTCTGCAGATCACGTTTCAACATTTTAAAGCACAAAAAGATTAAATTTGCTTGCAGAAAACAATATTTGGCCGCGATTGATGATGGCTTGTCAGAAACAGTTATTCCCCAAGGCTGCCAGATCGTTGAGAAACTTAAATCAACTGAGGAGTGGTGGGGAGGGCATTATAACTATCGATTAGCCACATAAAGCGGCGCGAACAGCTTACAGGTTCAAATTATTTTGGACCAAATGTTTTTATTTCATTTTCTTCGATACATCTATTTATGTATGTATATTAATGTATATTTTGCATGATGTGCAGTTGATGAATGTGAAGCGATAAAAAAAAAATTATGTATGCATGGATTTGTTGCCGGAGCCTTCCCTTCCCCTCCTAGTAGTAGCCGTAGTGGCCGTGACCGTGGTAGGGATAGTAGCCGCCATGATGGCCGCCGTAGTATGGGGCGCTGTGCACGTATCCAAAACTGCCGTAGTACGGACTGGCATAACCGTAGTGGCCGTGTCCATAGTCTCCGTAGCCACCGTAGCCGCCATACCCACCGTATCCACCGTAGCCATGGCCAAATCCATAGATGCCGCGCTTCTCCGTCTTCTTCTCACCAATGGCGGTCGCCGCATCCTGCTCTGGGATCTCGGGCAGAGCACCAGCTGGCTCGGAAACGGCTGCCCAGCTGCTGGCCAGGCATATGGCAAGCATCACAAAAATGCACTGCAGGAATAACGGTGGTTAGTCCTTTGGGGGGTGACACTGCTGCTGCTGCTAAGGCTGCGGCTGCTGCTGCTGATCTTACCAAGTACTTCATTTTGCAGGGGGTGTGGGGTTTTTCTTGTGTCTGTCTGCAATGGAGCCGCTGCTGCTGCTGGTTGTCGCGATTGAAGCCGACCTGCGTTTGTTTATGGTTGGGAGCTGTGCCCTGCGCTTTTATAGTCACCGTCCAGGGCATTGCTGCTACAGTTTGCAGTTATGCAAAAGCCAATCACCTTCCCTTCCCCCAGCCCACAGCTCACAGCAGCAGCAGCAGCAGCAGCAGCAGCATCAGCAGAGGAGTAGCAGCAGAAGCAGCGCAGCAGCAACAGGGTAGCATCAGCAGCAGAAGCAGCGCAGCAGCAGCGGAGCATCAGCAGCAGAAACAGCGCAGCAGCAGCGGAGAATCGGCAGCGAATTCAGCGATTGTTAAAGCTAAGGGATTGCGAATGCATGATGGCTGGCGGGGGGACGGCTTGAAATCGAATATTGTTTATGCTGCAAGCGAGCCAAAAGGTCAGTTCTCAGCGCAGCTCAACCCCTACAGATTTGTGAGTGGGCGTTGCAACTAACGTTTTAACTCCCCTTCCTCGATTTCCGCTCATTAAATAAACCAAATGCAAGTTCTAAAAGCCACGGCGGCCTGCCATTATGCAATCCAACAAAATCTGAATTCCACAACCAGGCAATACGATCCACACTGAAATGAGTGCCACAATCACCTGGCGACCAACTATCGTATGACACTTTCACCTGCAGCACTACAGATTACATACAGAAAGACATACGCATGTGTGTATGGATTACAGTTACCCAATGTACATACATATGTTTGCATGTCTAGCATGGGAGACCGTTGTGATCCACCTAGAAGCGGGGGGCGGGCCAAATCGAAATGCCAAGCCTCGTGGGAAATGCATTCAAAACACACAATATGCATGCGATTACATACAAATTATGAACAATTGCACGTTTACAGCATTTTGGCATTTTTAATTAAGCTGCCAGATCATTTCAAATGCAAAATGAAAAAAAAAAATACATTGCTGCCTCCCGCTCTTATCGAAAGAATCCACAGAGCACGACTCATTGGGTTACCTGTAAAACATACATGGCGGGTAGGGTATGCTGGAACTGTGTGTGGCAACTATAATAATCCGCGAGCAACGACTGAAGCCTCGCTCAATGCTCGCCATCGCGATCTGAAATGAGTATTTAGCGAAACAAAACCCAAGGGATACAAATTTCTCCCTTCCATGTGCATTAGTTCCTTCTTTCAAGACTCAAACCATGTAAAAGGGTATCGCTCAGTCGCGTTTTAACATTTTGCGACTCATTTCCGAGTGCTTTGGGCCACAATGAAGGACGACCTTGACCGCAGTGGCAGCTACAATTGCAAATGCACTTTTTGATTTGCCAATGCGATGGGATGGCAGCGAGCGGAAGAGTGGAGTGGGGCAATGGCCGGAGGCAACATTGTTGAATGAAATCAAATGAAATGAAGCATGGAAAATGCAAGCGCTTGTTTCACAAGCTCCCCACCCCTCCGACGACGTCTCGACATCTACACAAAAGTGGGTGGCAACGCCATTGTTGTGGCCTAGCCTGTCTATTGTTGTTGCTGTTGTACCATTTAATGTTAATATTCGCTAGTACTTGGACTATTCGGGCGGGCTGCAGCCAGCACCGGCGATGAGGTTAATGCACGCGACGTCTCCGATCTGCCGACTTGCTGACTGCAGATGCGGGCCAAGTTAAGCAAGCGGAAGCCCAGTCCCAGTCACGATGCCCCTCAGAGATAAGCACAAAACATTTTTCGATTGCCAGCGCTAAACCATAATTCTTGGCGCCGATTTTACATAATTCTAGTCTTTAAATTGATTGATTCTCCTTACCCATTGACTGGAAATCTAGTCGCTTGATTTATTATCACGACTGTTAATGGCGCATTGTTGAAGAACCAGCTGGCTGTGGCCAGATCTGATCTGCCTCAATCCGTTAGAAACCGTCTTTAAATATTACGCCCCCTTCCCCCTGCTCTTTGACGAAGCAATCAGCAATCAGCAATCAGCTGTGCATGTTACACAACAACAACAGCGGCCAGTGGCTGCGACTTTTGGTTGGGCATCCATTTGATGGGAAAATGCTTACATTTCCTTACAATTTATTACGCTTAACAAACATTAAAGATAACATTGGGGTAAATGTCTAGTACTTCAGCTCCTTGGCCTTGTCGTGGGCGCCCTCGTCGAGGAGCTTCAGCTCCGCCTGCTGCTTCTCCGGGCGTATAACAGTGTAGTAGTGGTAATAGCGGCTGCCCAGCACATAGGTGCCGTAGAGGGTGACGCCGATGCAGGCGTAGACGGCGCCGCGATGCAGTTTGTCCAGCAGTGCGTTGGCATTGATGGGTTTCTTCTGCATGATGATGAAATTTACGCTTTGCCGGTTTCCAAAAAAAAAAAATATATCTGATCTGTGCTTTTTGTTGTTTTTAATTTGTAGCTAGTGATGACATTGAGGCAGTGTTTTTGACACATGTCATTCCCACACACGTAACTTTTAATTCCTTTTTTTCTGGTTGATCTTATTAGTTTTAAGCTTGTTCTGCAATCACTCCAATAAAGATACGTCATGAAAATCAGCCAATCTTGTGGGGAATTGAACTATTATTTGACTAAAATTATAGTTTTAAAGCTGAAAGTCTTAACTAGCTGGTAATATTAAACAGAAGATCAAAGTACAGGAAAATGGTTTTGGATTTACGGTATATTTAGAGTGTATTTTGATAATGAATTGTATATGTTGGTATATTTCCGAGGGCCTGTCGGTATATTGAATCGATAATTTGATACACGGGCACGTGTTTACTTGCATACTCCAGCAACTGCGTCAGTAACAAATTTCGAGATAAACGAAGGGAAAAAGGGAAGATCACAACACACCCATGGATCACGAATCCGCTGATGTCAGCCCCCTGGGCGACAGCCGCAGCCAGATCAACGTACCCAATGCCGTCATCCTCTGCTGCGAGTGTGCCGTTCCCATCCAACCGAATCCAGCCAACATGTGCGTCACTTGTCTGCGCAATCATGTGGACATAACTGAGAACATACCCAAGCAGGCGGTGCTGCACTTCTGCCGCAACTGTGAGCGCTACCTACAGCCACCCACCGAATGGATTCAGGCCTCCCTCGAGTCCCGCGAGCTGCTCGCGCTCTGCCTTAAAAAGCTAAAGGGCCTCAAAGAGGTGAAGCTCGTCGATGCAGGCTTCATATGGACCGAACAGCATTCAAAGCGCATCAAGGTGAAGCTCACAGTGCATGGCGAGATCGTCGGCGGCACTGTGCTCCAGCAGATCTTTGTCGTGGAGTTCACGGTGCAGAATCAAATGTGCACCGACTGCCATCGCACGGAGGCAAAGGACTTTTGGCGCTGCCTGGTGCAGGTGCGTCAGCGGGCGGAGAACAAGAAGACATTCTACTACCTGGAGCAGCTGATACTCAAGCACAAGGCGCACGAGCACACGCTGGGCATCAAGCCGGAGCATGGCGGCCTGGATTTCTATTACGCAAATGAGAATCATGCACGGCGCATGGTGGACTTTCTGCTGACACAGGTGCCCGGCAAGGTGACGACCTCAAAGCGGCTCATCTCTCACGATATACACAGCAACAACTACAACTACAAGTACTCGTGGTCCGTCGAGCTGGCGCCCGTGTCCAAGGACAGCGCCGTTTGCCTGTCCAAGAAGCTGCGCCACCAGCTGGGCAACCTATCGCCCATTTGCCTGGTGAATCGTGTGTCCAGCAGCATACATCTGATAGATCCACTCACAGCACAGATTGCAGAGCTAACTTCGCAGGTTTACTTTAGGTATTTTCGCATCTAAATCCCCCAACGACTTGCCCAAACATTCATTTTCTCTCTCTTCCGCAGAGCACCCTTTGAGGCTGTGTGCAATCCCAAGCAGCTGGTGGAGTACATCGTCATGGACGTTGAGGTTATTATGGAGAAGGATCGCAAAACGTACCCGGGCCAGGGGCAGTTGTCGTTTAAGCACGCTCTGTGTGACATTTGGGTGATGCGCTCCTCGCAGCTGGGCATCAACGACAGTCCCATACACACACGCTCCCATCTGGGGCATCTGCTGAAGGTGGGCGACTCTGTCATGGGCTACAACACGGGCGAGGCGAACATCAATGATCCAGAGTTTGAGAAGCTGCCCGCAGATCTCGTGCCGGATGTGGTGCTGGTGCGCAAGCATTACGATCGCCAGACACGTCTCAGTCAGCGGCTGTGGAAGCTCAAGCACTTGGCGGCGGAGGCAACGGATGAGCGCAGCAAGCACGACTACCACGAGTTCCTCGACGATCTGGAGGAGAATGTGGACATGCGCGGACAGGTGAACATATACCGGGACACAAACAAAACGCTGCCCAGCGAGTCGCAGCCAGCCAGCGAGGATGTGCCACAGATAACGCTCGAGGAGATGCTGGAGGACATGACGCTGGAGTGCGCCGATGATGAAATGGGCGATGCAGAGCCAGAGCCCGAGCCCGAGCCCGAGCTTTAGGTTTCTTTTTTGCTTTACATATATTTTTCTTTGTATAGTTTGCTTAAACAACTAAAAGGAATCCTTGCTAAACATTTGGCTACAGCTCCTCCCCTCCTCTCCCCTCCCCTCCCCACCCTTCCCCACCCGCTTAGGACAGTCCCAGCTTGGGTTTCTCCTTGAAGAAGTAAACCTCGTTGCAGCCAAAGCCGTGCAGCTCCTCCCAGTCCATTAGCGCACGCTTGATCACCGGCTGAATGTGCTTGCGTGTGGCGCGCAGATTATGCTGACGAAGGTAGCAGCCGCCCATGAAGCGACTGCCCACAGCGTGCGCCCTGAGATCCAGCGGCGGCTCCTGGCAGCCCACCAAGGCCAGGCGCACGCACTCCAACAGCTGACTCTGTCCAGCCAGCGAGATGAGTCCCACGTCCCGCTGCACCGCACCATCCACGGGGGAAACGTACATGCCGAGCATAACGAGCAGATTGCTGTCGATGCCAAACTCCCTCACCGCCTGCTCCGCGCCACTTAGCTCTATGAAGTCCCGGATGAGTACGGGCATGCCGGCCACAGGCACCTTCTGACGCTCTGTCTGTATGAGTTTCATGTCCTTGCGCAGCACCTCGCTGAGTGTCAGCTTGCTGATGTCCGCGCGTGCTGCCACCAGTTCATTGAAGAGCTCCGTGCGCTCCACCAGCTCAGTCTGCGACTCGCACAACTCCCGCTCCAGCTGCTCCACCATGCCCAGATCCGCGGGCGAGCCACGCTTGGCCGTGGCCGAAAAGTTAACCGTATCCAGGACTATGGTGGCGCGCAGCAGCTCCGCAACGACGGGCGAACGTGGCTGCTCTGCGGCGAAGTAGCGCTGCCCCACGAGTGTCGCGCACGAGCCAACGCCAGGCTCAATGCTGCGCACACAGCTCTCGGGCAGCAGCAGGTACTGCGGATTGGCAGCATCGATGGGTCTGTGGTCGAGTATCTCCAGCACCTGCGGCGCCAACTCGCTCACATGATGATCGACGAGCAGCACGCTGACATCGCCCGTGAACTGCTTGGGCAAGTCGTCGCGAAAGAGCAGCATGGCCTCGGCAATGCCACACTTGGTCAGCATGTGACCCACCTCTGTCTTGAGCAGGTAGTCCCTGCGTGGAATGTTCAGCACGGGCACATAGTCGTGCTCCTGGTGGCGCTCCGCGTAAATGAAGGCCAGCGTCAGGGCTGAGATGGCCGAGTCCAGGTCGCACGATTCGTTGCCAATTACTACGTGCAGCTTGCGTAGTTCCAACTGCTGCTGCCAGGCAACCGTCGACGAACCCTCTGCCAGATACTGAAACGAGTAATTCCCCGAAATTTAGAGGTCAGATGATGATGCCGGTGAAGGTCGTCTCCGGGGGCATACTTACACGGCTGAGCGTGGTCCGAGCTTGGGTAAGAAAACGCACAAAACGCATTCTCAATTAGCTATTGCCTTTCAGCTGCCCAAAACCAAAAATAAATCAAGAAAATCTATGACAAAAATTCGACAGAAAGCTCAACAATCCCCCCATCAACAGTGTGACCGCGAATTTATCGATAAATCGAATATCGATGAATCTTAAAATTTTTTCCTCGATTTTTATGTTCAATTTGACATTTACAGCTGGTTGGGACTCTCGGCTTTAAAAATGTAATTTTACTCGAATCATTATTCAATTCCCAGCAGGATTGGCTGATTTAATGATACATCTTTCCTCAATGCTTTTTTGTATTGTTTGTAACTCATTAGGATTGTGACTGTTTCGAAGGAAACCACTCCTCCTTCGCCAGCGATAATTTCTTTCCGATCGAATTTCTGTCTCGAAATCAAATATTTGAAATGAAAAGGAAAATACAAATAGTAAATTAAATTGGGAGAATATTTTATAAAAAACTGAATCGAAGACCCTAATCTACACTACCCGACACGATTTTCCCTCAAGGAAATGGTCGAATGAAATGATCAGATGATATATTTTTTGTCGCGGCAAAACTGCACACGAATGAAAGGAAAGAGGAACCAAAAATCGCGAAGAAAGAAAGAGGAAAAAATGTGTATTTTATTATACGCTTTTGTACTCACATTTTCCGCTCTCAATGGCACTGAGGTGCTGCCTCTGAGCTCCGATGAGTGCCGCCTGGATTTACATCGCAATAGCAATGCCCCAAGACCTCGGCTCAACCAAAAGTCGTGACTCGCGCTTAGCGAAAGAAAAGCGAAGAAGAAAATGCTCATCTTTTTCCCGCCAAGTGTTAGCTATAAAGAAGCTAAAAAGAGTTGAACATTTCGGCGGTTATTTGAAAACGTAAATCCCGCTTCATTTCAAGCTATTTCAATTGAATGGAGCTGTTTATTTAGCTATTTTGGTCATTTTATGAATTTGTTTATTACACCGTATAACAAGTTTGGAGATTGGTAGATGGGCAGGGGCAGGGTCAGGCGCGAAGGTACAATGGGAATTATGTACATCTATATAGGGGGGGGGGGGATATGGATTCTATATATATTATTCTAGCAATATTCTCTGGGGGCTAATACAACTCGGACTTCCGCATGACGGCGGAGACCAGGGCTTTGAAAGCATCCTCTATCAGCACGATGTGCATCTGGGCATCGCGGTACGACCAGAGCTTGGCGCTCTCCGTGAGCGGCATTTCCATGGTGGTGACGCCCAGCGACGATTGCGAGTGAAGGCTGCGGCCGGTGTTCATCAGAATGTTGACGCAGTCGTCGGCGAGTATGGGGAACGTCTCGACGAAGCGCACCATGGCCGGCAGCACGTGGCGCAGGAACTTGCACTTGGAGGAGACGGTGAGCAGCGAGAGCGTCGTCTGTATCACATTCAGGCAGAACTTGGACACGCCCAGACTCTTGGGTATCGAGTAGTTCAGCACCAGATGGGAGGTCAGCTCAATGGTGAATATTTGCTTGTCCATTTCGTTGACGTTGAGGAACTCGTGCACGAAGTCAATGCAAATGTGCATCGAGGGCACGCTGGCCACCATCATGGGGATGACCGACTTGGGGTACGTCTGGAAGTGCACCAGCTTGGCCAGCGAGGGCTCCGAGATGAATGCCTGATGCACGTAGGTGCCAATGATGCCCTGGATCTCGCGCAGCTCCAGATGCGACAGCCGATCCCGCGAATTGTTCGACATGTACTCGAGCACCTCGAGCAGAATGTGCACCGCGGCGCTCTCCTGCGAGGCAATCAGCGTTGTCTTCAGCTCCTCCCGATCGGCGTCCGTCTGCACGAGCCCGTTCTTGTCCAGCACCTGCTTCTGCTGCATGTACACGTTCAGATATGTCTTCGAGGCGGCCAGGCTGCCCTTCAGTATGCGCAGCATAATCATCAGCAGATACGGCGAGCAAAACACTTGCCTGGGGCAGCTGCAGGAAGGGACATTAGATCGAATTGCATTCCAAGATCCCAAGACTCCTTGGTACTCACCTCAACACTTCCATGGGCTCCAGCAGGCTCTCGTTGGCAAAGGTGCGACGATTGATCGAGTCCGCGCTGTTCGTGATCGCACGCAGCGACATGACCCACAGCGTGGTGGGCAGCACCGCGTTCAGCCGCAGCCAGAGATCGTGGAACAGATCCTTGATGTAGCGCGGCACCGACTTCTGGAACACCGCCGGCATATGCTTGACCAGCTGCTGGCCGTACTGCGCCAGCGATTCGGCGGGCAGCTGCAGCAGCTGCTTGAAGATGCGTATCGCCAGGCGCGGCTTGGTCTGAATGTGCTCGAGGGCGCGGCTCAGCTGCTCGGGCGTTGGTTCGGGGCAGGGACAGTCAAGCGCCTCGATGCCCAGCGTCGTCAGATTGTGCTCCTCCAGCCAGTCATCGACCATGCTCAGGTGCGGATAATTGGAGATGATCAGCCGCAGCAGCGGATGGAACAGAAACTGATACTCGCCGTGATACTTGTGCGCCTTTTGCAGCAAATACTTGAGCGGCAGTCCGCCCATGAAGTTGTTCGCGTACTCCTTCTGCTTGCGTCCGCCGATGGCGCTGAGGTTCATCAATCGCGTGTCCTCGTACAGCAGCAGATAGTAGATCATGAGCAGCTGGGCGGTGAGAGGACAGCTAACCTCGACCTTGGCCAGCTCCTCGCTCTCCGTCATCGGTGGCAGGTCCTCGCCGAACAACGTCAGCTGCGAGGTGCGGAACACGTGCAGAATCTCCACCTCGGTGAAGGGCATGTGGATGTGATCGATGTTCACCTTCCCGGTGGGATTGGGGATTATCAGCGTGTTGACAAACACCTCGACGAGGGCGGGCATCACGGGATGTATGGGCCGCACCGCGCTGCATATTTGCTTGAAGATCCACGACTTGATCGTCACCTTGTGCTTGAGGAAGGTGCGCGACTTGAGCAGCTGATGGATGCAGTGCACGGGCAGGTAGCCGGGTATCGTCCCGCTCAGGTTCGGCGTCACGGGCACACGCACCGCCTTGAGGGCCACCACCTGCTCGGTGAAGAGCTCCTGCGTGAAGAGCTGCTTGATGCGGCTGGTGCTGTTCGGCCGGATGGGTATGCGCATGCCCAGCGTGGAGCAGACCATTTCGCTGATGGCCGTGATCTGGTTGCTGTGGAAGTGTATGGCCAGCAGCAGGAGCATCTCCCCCAGCGAGGTGCTCGTGCCCGAGCGCTTGCAGAAGAAGGCATCCTCGCGCGTCAGCCACTGCAGCCACTCGATGGCCTTCATCTCCAGCGGTATGGTCGACACCAGCGAGGGGCAGGCTATCAGCATGCACAGCCCCAGGGTGACGAATCTCAAGCCCGATGGCGTCGGCTGTGGCCGACTCGTCACCAGCTGCGACAGCGCATTGATCTCGTCGTCGTTGAACTTGAGGCCGCCAATGCCGCGCAGGGCGCAGTACAGACGCATCAGCACCACGCCCTGCAGATTGAAGTCCTTCAGCTCTGCGGCATTTGTCGTCGTCTTCACCACCTTCTGCAGCAGCTCCACACGCACCAGATTGAGTGCATCGCCCTTGCGCTTCTGGCTGGAGCGTGTGTAGATGGCAAACCAGCAGCGCAGATTCTGATCGTTGCCCAGCAGCAAGCCCGTGAGGAAGGGGATCTACAGAGAGCAAAAGGCAAACATTTAGACATTGCTTAAGGCTGGGGAACGGGCGCGAATCACTCACCAGATCATCCGAATGCTTGAGCGCCAGTTTGAGCATAAAGGACGGACCCTTCATCATTTCCACGCACAGCGCCCGATTGGCCAGCGCCTGGGTGGGGTTCATTTCGCTGAGGGACATGAGCAGCGCGAGCCTGTGCTTGCCATCGCTGCCGTCCTCGTCGTAGTTGGCAATCACGTGGGAGACAACGTCGCGATAGCAGTCGGGAAAGTTGGCCACCAGCGCCGTGATGATGCGATAGCCGTTGGGCACGCTGATCAGGGCATCGGACAGCTCGAGGATGTTGAGCAGGGAGGGGAGTTCGGCGAGGGCAATGCAGAGAATGTCCACCACCTCCTCGAGGTAGATGCCATCGTCGAGCATCTCGGAGTGTGCGGCTGGCTTCTGCTCGGCCACCTGCTGCTGCAGATTGAATATTTCGGAGAGGACGACGCGCACCTTGCGCGCCACATCGGCCCGCTCGAAGCCCAGAGCGATGCCCGACTGCAGGCCGTACTCCTGCTGCTGGCCCTCGAAGTAGGGCGTCTTCTGGCGCGTCTGCAGCTCCTTCTTCAGCTCGTTCTCCAGCTCGTGGTAGTTGACCTGCAGATAGGAAACGATGCTGTTCACCACCTCGATGCCAATGAGGACGGCCAGGATCTGCTTGCGCGACTCCATGGAGGATGTGGTGTTGTCCAGTGGCGAGAGCAAACTCATCCGCACCAGCGATGGCAGCACCGGCCGGATCTCGGCCTCCGGGTAGCTGGCCAGCGAGGTAATGTCCAGATTCTGCATCGACGTGAAGACACGCTCGGACACATCGTACACTTGAACCGGCGTCTTTTTCGTCTTGGCCCAGTGTCCGAGCTTGTCGATGTCCAGCTCGATGCGCGTGATCTTGGTCAGTGGAGCCGGGGCCAGCATTTCGAATAACTGGCCGTAGCTTTTCGGGATTCAAAATTCAAAAACAAAATCAGACCCGTCCAGGGGAATGGAATTGAAAATCAGTGCGACCGCAGACTCATTGGCAGGCTATACCGACTGACCCTCAAAAAAATACCCACTCATTTTCTAAATGTGCCGTAAATATACCGCAAGCTATATTATTTTCATCGATTTTGATAGGACCAACAGACAGAGGGACACTTATAATTATAACTTAATTTCGATATCAAAATATCTCACGTATTTTACCAGCAGCGCTGTTCCACAACATTCTTCATGGAATAAGCAACATTTAGTACCCTTGGAGAGAAGGTTGACCTCTTTAGTTTTAGCCTTATTTTGCAATCAATCCAATAAAGATAAGCGATGAAAGTCAGCCAATACTGCGGGAAATTGAATGATGAATTGAGTAAAATTACATTTATAAAGCTAAGAGTCCTAACCAGCTGGTAATATTAAACAGAACATAAAAGTCGACGAAAAGGTTTAAGGAAATACGGTATATTTAAAGTATATTTTGAAAATGAAAGGTATGTTTCGGTATATTTTCGAGGGTCTGGCGGTACATCTTATCGACCATTCCGCGGTCACACTGGTTCTCTCCGATGTTTTGAATACATACATTTTCCATATCCGCCAGACCGAAATTATAAGTTTTAACGTGTGAAATCTATGATATTTGCTGTGTTTTATGAATCAATTATAGCAAACAGAGCTGCAAAATTATCGAGTAGGTAAGTGAGAGTTGCGGAGCGCAGTGAAAATGCCGAAATAACGCCGAAAACTGTCGGTAAAACAGACCAACGCCCAAGTGCTTGTGCTTCTTACCTCTAGCTCTAGCTCTTCCCACCTCTGGCAACCAGGCTAGTGAGAAGAAGAGAGTGGCAGAAAGTAGCAGAGAGTAGAGTGAAGAAAAAAAGTATCTGAGAGATTGAAATGTGGGCCAGATCAGAGTGGACTAAAACTAACCAATTAGTAATCCGGACATAAATGTGCTCTACCCTATATGCTGTGGCATATAATATATAGTGGTTAGGCCGTGCGCATACATACATAATAAAAACATCATCGATTAAAATTGCCTGCTCTACCGCCACCGCCACAGCGCCGCTGTAGCTGCTTCTGCTGCCGTCGCTGCCGTCGATGACATCATTTTGGTTTTTGGGCAGAGCGAGCGCGTACAAGTCCCGCAGTCCCAAGTCGTGTGGTGTGGTTCGCTTGTCTCATTACTGCCCTCCTAATCGAATTGGACGTGAGTGTGTGGTCGAGTGGCGGACGTTCGGATTCGTTTTATTTTTATGTTTTTACCCACCCTCCCCCACCATACTCGAATGTCTCAATGGAGACGAATGTGTGAGAGAAGATTGTGTTAAAACGGTAAATTAATGCAGTGACTGAAATCAAAATTCGAACTCGAGTCAAAACAAAACAGAAACAGTGAGAAAGTGATCGGCAAACGCCCGAAAGTCGAGCATAAAGAACATCGAGAACGTACGTGAAGAGAAATAATAAGCAGAACAAGAACCTGAAACATAAGAAGAAGAGCCTTAAGTAACATTTGCGTCAGTTGGTGATAAAATGAAATATCAGGCAATCGCCTAATCGGAGATCCACTCACTCACTCAATCATACATATGTATGCTTGAATGTATACACGCATACATGTGTGCATGTTTATGATTCGTACAGAAATACAAGCGGCGGAACACTCCTCGCTTCCTCATAGATACGCTTGCACTTTGAAATACAGTTACGTGCACACACTCTCTCACGCACACACAAGTATACCCATACGCCCCATGTAAAAATAGGAACTCCTTCGTCGCTTCTCCCTCTCCCTTTCGTGTACAAGAGGTCACGAGTTGAAGTTGAGTCTTTTTGTAGGAAAGAGAAAGAAATCCACTGGCAATAATGGGTGAAAACGGTGTGGCGTTGGCGCTGCACTTGCTCTTTAGCTCCGATAGTTCGTGCACGTGTGTGTGTGTGAGCGAGTGTGATGTTCTGGCCCACCTTGTTTATGACAAATCAGCGGCTATCATTCACTTGTACAGTTGTAAACACACCGACACGCAAACAAACACAGCAGGCTGTGGCACGTACATGGGCCCATGCCGCATATAGAGGGGAGCGGAGGCCCGCAACTGGAAAACATAATAATGTAACTCTTGTTTGAAAAAATGCAAAGGAACAACAAATATTGTGATACTGTGATGCCCCAACCCCACCCCAATAAACTGGTTTCTCCATAGAAGAAACTGAAACCGAAACAGAAACAGAAACAGAAAAGGAAAAAAAAACACAACTTTGACTTTGGTGGTGGTTTGCATTGGGCCTGAATTGAGCTGAGCTGAACTCTTGGCCTGCTTAATTGAACTCGGGAGTTGCACAACCACTCTACAACTCCTCCACGCCCTGCACACGTTCTCTCTACAGACACTCAGCTCTCTCTCTTTCTATCTGCTAGCCTTCATGAAAATGATGAGTGATGAACTCATAAGAAGATCACTTATTAAATTGTGCGCCAGGCAATCATAATTAAACATCGCAAGATGGATAGACAGACGGAGATGGAAATATTGATGGGGGGGAGAGAGAGAGAGAGAGAGAGAGAGCGACAAATGAGAGAGTGCATTTTGAGTTGTGGAAACCAACCCTGAGTTGAGCTGCTACTCCCACCCCCACCCGCTGGAACTACTGCACCACCTTCAGATATACAGCAGATACAATACAAATACTCTCTCGTTTACACTCTCTCTCTCTTCCATTGTGCGTGAGAGGGCTCGCGGGCTTGCTCTTTCTTTCGTTAGCTCATTCGTTGTTGTTTTTGCGTTGCGGCAAGTTTTAAGCTTCGTTTTATTAAAAATATTACGTAATAGATAGAAGCCACTATTGTGTGTGATTGCGTATGGACATGGAAACATACATACATTTACGTGGCTTTGTACGTACATATGTAGGTGCTTGTGTTAGTGTGCTGATTTTCTATTGTTTGTTTTAACAAGTTTTTTCTCTTACTGTTGCTGTGGTTGTTGTTGTCGCAAAATTAGTACAAATGAAATCAGCAGTAACTACGGTGGCGACAGCGGCAGCGACTGCGACAGCGGCAGAGCTTTAACTGCAGCTCTCATAGTGTTGTGAAGAGCCCAGAGTAGGGCAGAGCGAGAAAACCACAGCCGGAGTAGAGCCTTAGCCAGACCAGAGCCAGAGCAGATAAACAGTTGTGTATGTATTGTGTTGCTGGAGGAATGACCCCCAGCCAGCACCTGTGCCTGTGCTGGAACAACCGTCAAAGGACATCTACACACACACAAAGAAACCAACACATACATACGTACCCGGTTGTGGATACATATTTAACGTTTTGCATCATTCTCGCTTGACCTAGGTCCGCAAAACCGAAATCAAATTCGAAATGAAAATTGCAGTGCCTCAAACTAAAATGTGAAAGCAGGAGAAAGTTCCAAGTACATATGTACATAAGTATGTCTACATATGAGAGGCAGTAAAACATATGTACACATTTTCATTGCATCCAAAGTTCGAGCCCAACATTCGAGCATAACCTATTTCGTTTACTTAGCACAAGTGCGAAAATACTGCGCCCGTAGTGGAGGGCAGTGCGAATGAATGATGGACGACAGCGTGAACGGTTAATCATTTGGAGAGGTGAAGCCCCGCTTTGTCGGCGCTAGGGAGGTGTGTAGAGATGGGAAGCTCGTCAGTGTGTGGAGCCTTTGAGCTTTGCAGTGTGAGTGTGGTGGCATCATTTATGTTTTTCTCTCTAGAATGGAAAAAGGCTTCGGAATCCACATTTAGAGACATAAACCTGAGCATTGAGTACGAATAGGTCATGTGTGCAGAAGGAAGCTGACATCGGTTAGCCATGCCCCCCTGCTCATTTGTGTTTTGTAGAGATAACATCGGGAATGTGTGAACGATTTTGCATGCGAAAGGTAATTGGTTTTCTATTCTACAGTGCAAAATGTTGTGTAGAGATGCTCTGTGAGGCTGTGTGAAATCAAAATGGATTGATGTACTACATACATACATTTGTACCCTGAATACCGTATTCTGGGTTTTGTTTTGGATAGTTTTTTTTCTGTGAATTGAATTTCCTGCAATTTCATCAAATGTTGGCCCCCCTAGGAGGAGATTTGGCTGGGGATAGCCATGGGTTAAACAATGAGGCAGAGAGAGAGTCTCACACTTTTATTCTTTTTTTTTTTGGGTTGGAGGGGGGGGGGGGGTATTGCCGGCCAGTGTGTGATGTAATCGCGTTAACTACCAGTATGTATGTGTGTGTGTGTGTGTGTGTCCGATAGAGTGAGTGAGACAGAGTGGTACAGTTGCGATCGGACTTGTTGTTGGGTTGACCCAGGCGACCCTGCCCGCCCATGACGTCACTTCAATGAATCATCCCCATACACAAATTAGCCAAAATAATATTCACACAGTTTTCCGCCCAATGGCTTACCTTTGCTCTCCTTTCGTTTCCTTTTGCAGTGATTCTCCTCTGAAGGCAGCAAATTCGGTTCTGGACTAGAATAATAAAAAAACGCGCAACTTGACGACGGAAAAAAGGAAGGAAGGAAGGAGGAAGGAGCAGAGCAGAACTCATAACTTTATCAAAACCAGAGAGAAGGAAAAACGAAAAGTGTGGAAACTGTAGAACGTTCAAATAAGCAAAAATGACGACGGACATCTCAATTGTTCGATGGGACCCCAGTCAGGGGCCCGGCAACGAATATATCGACGAATACGAATACGATGGCGGCAACAGCAGCTCCAGGCTGTTCGAGCGTAGCCGCATCAAGGCCCTCGCCGAGGAGCGTGAGAGCGTACAGAAGAAGACCTTCACCAAGTGGGTTAATTCGCATCTGTGCCGCGTTAACTGCCGCATCGCCGACCTCTATGTGGACATGCGGGATGGCAAGCATCTAATTAAGCTGCTCGAAGTCCTCTCCGGCGAGCGTCTGCCGAAGCCCACCAAGGGCAAGATGAGGATTCACTGCTTGGAGAATGTCGACAAGGCGCTACAATTTCTGCGGGAACAGCGTGTGCATCTCGAGAA